TGTGGGGGTGTGTGTGTGCTGTCGAGTGCGTATGTGTATGTATGTATGTGTGAGTGTGTGTGTGTGTGTGTGTGTGTGTGTGTGTGTCTGTGTGTGTGTGTGTGTGTGTGTGTGTGCACGCGTATATATTTACCATCTATTTGGGGAGAACAATCTTATCTTATCTTATCTTATCTCATCTATCTTACTTCAGGACACCCAGCATGATGTTCCCAGACAAGTACCTGAGAGCTTGCTGGCTGGGAATGGAGAAACCAACAGAACTGAACTACGGAGAGTCGGAGCAATCTATTCTCTGAATCAAAGCGTTGATGGAAATGCTCCTAACGGGGATTCTACGAATTTGTCTGATACAAAACACTCAGGAGACAAAGAGAATGCGCTTCCTACCCCTGCGATTTTTCTTTCGCGAACAAACTTGGCCCAACCTTCCAGATCTATCGACACAAATAGAAATCTCCTCACAACAGATTACGCTTTCGGCCAAGTGCGACAGACATCTATGGCGACGGAACTCACGCCTCCAACAAAACCAACCCATTCACTCACTCCATACAATGGTGTTAGGGAGGAATTATATTTTCAACCTATTCATCCTAGCCCTATGGTCATCCCCATAGTGTCCCCACGACGACTAAACCCTGTGGTTAGTCAAGGAAGGCCTGCTCTTTCTCTTGACTGGCTCAGTCCGAGTATTGAAAGCGTAACAAGAGAACAGGACAGCTTGACCAGAGCGATGACCAACCACTTGCAGTCAGAAACGTCAGGACAGGAAAACGACAGGCATGGGCCAGATAATCAGAGCTCAAATGTATTGACATCACAAACAAGAGGTACTTTGCAACAGAATGGTCTAAACGACACAAATACAGGTGTAGATCTTTCTCCTCCAATCTCTCTTGATCGCAGATCTCAGCCTTTAAATGCCCAGAAGATGCCATGGCTCTCTCAGCCAGCCAGACTAAGGGTTACAACCCACAACTCACCAAACTCCCCAAGGAAACTTGTTCATGACACCAATATTCGAAATAATTATGCGGAACACTCAAGAACAAATCCTTCCCATAATGCAACAGTTCCCGAACTCAAACCTCAGCGCATTCAAGAAATCTGTGCTGGTTCCAATAACTCACGTGATGTTGACAGTAAGCCTGTAGCGGCTGTGAGGCCGGCTGTCAACTTCCACTCTTCCCTCAGTCGCAGCCCACGGCACCGCCACCTGCTGGAGAAGCGGCATGCCAGTCATGACGGAGTGAGCAGCAGCCGGACAGCAGCCACCGGTGCCAGAGATATTGAAGATGTGGATGCCACGGAGTTTGAGGAGGAGTTGTCCTTGGAGACACCACGAGACGGTTCTTCATTCTCCTCAGGAAGGAAGAACCAAAACGGGGCTCAAGACAAACGTGAACCGCATTTACGTCAGAGAAGTCCATCAATCTCCTTGCCCGATTTACGAGACATGACTGGGTGTTTGGTTCTGTCACCTGACATTCCAACTGAAGCTTTCGCCATGAACAAATCTCCCAGAAAGACGTTAGCCGAAGTCGATCCCAGTTACTCCAACAAAGCCGAGGAGCCGAAGAGTAATGAGAACAAATCGGTGTCTCTAGATACGAGCCAAAACGTACGCAAACACGATACTATAGATGAAACAACTAGTAGGGATAAAAACGAGCACGCGTTTTCCAATGTCAGGACTCAGATTAGACGGGCTATTGAAAACAAGAAAATCATGTTCAAGGGAGACAATAGGCAAAACAAAATAGCCACAGAAACAGTAAAGAACAAAGCAAAAACTGATAATACCCGTGGGCGTAAGAAGACGGTTTCCTTTGAGAGTGCTGCAGGGGTCACCAGTTATGACGATGATTTCGACGAACAAGATGACAAGGCACAGATGGACGGCGACAGCGACAGTGTCGATGAATATTCGTTCGATGGAGATTCCAGTGATGATGGAAAGGTTGAGAAGAATGACGCTAATCAGGACCTGCCCATGGACCGTTCACTTCCATGTATTCAAGTGCCTCGGTATAGCTTGAAATAACAAAGGGGTCATTGCTACAAGGGTTTAAGTATTGTATTCTGGGGTAATAATAATATGTTTTTGATAAATTCCGTCGGCCAAAGACAGAGCGACGAACTGCACATTTCCTGATTTTGAGAAAGGCAAAAACAAGAACTAATAAATCTTGACGCTTTTTTTTTTAGATCAGTTACTTCCGTAGCTTTACCACTTTAAGGGTGATAAAAAAAATATGCCAAAATCATCACACGAAGTTTATAAAAAAGAAAAACCAATAGAAAACTCAAGCTTGGACTAATGTGTTGAACATACTTTCAAGTTTATAGTTCATGTTTTAAAAGTGCTCAATATGGCCATCTTCGGCAGCACAGACAACATCAAGCTGATATGAGAATTCATCCCAAAACGCGCCTCTGAGTTCACCGTGTCTATTGTAGCTGTTATTCGATCTTTCATATCATTGATATTTGCGGGAAGTGGTGGAGCATAAACTTTGTGGCTATTCATTTTACTGCACACCTATTCAAATGACTTCATTCTCAACAAGATGGAGTACCGCCTCATTGGTATCTCTGGGTTCGAGCTTATCTGAATGAAAACGTGCCTCAGCGGTGGATTGGTAAGAGAGTTGCTAAAGACCTCTTTCTCTGCGGTTGGCCTTCCAGATCCCCGTACCTTACTGTGTGTAATTTTTTTGTGGGGGTATGTTAAAGACAAATCTTTATGTTCCACCACTTCCAACAAATATTGATGGCATGAAAGATTGAATAACAGCTACAATCAACATGGTGGCCTAAGATATTTTTAGGAGCGTTTGGGAGGAATTCTCATATCGGCGTAATGCTATCTGTGCTTCAGGTGGTGGCCACACTGAACTGAGCACTTGCAAAACATAATAAAAACTTAAAAGTATATACAGCACGTCATGTGTCCAAGCTAAGGTTTTCTTTTGTTATTCATTTTTGAAATATCGACGGATGATCTTGGCGTATTTTTTTAAAATCACTCTGCATTTCGAAAGGAGGTACATCGTCCTACTTTTGACACAAGAAGGATATTGGCAAGACTATTTAACAAACCAAGAAAACTATTTTTAAAAATAAAGGCAACTCAGTTTTGCCAGATACGTCGCTCTGTCATAGGATGGTAGAATCGTTGGTTTGTTGTCGTTGAAGAAGGGGATGGGTATTGTTTATCTTGCTTGTATTTTTTTTTGTTTTTGTAGAGAGGGGTTTGGTTTTGTGTGTGTGTGTGTGTGTGTGTGTGTGTGTTTGTGTGTGTGTGTGTGTGTGTGTGTGTGTGTTTGTGTGTGTGTGTGTGTGTGTGTGTGTGTGTGTGTGTGTGTTTCTCTGTGTGTATTTTGTATTTATTTTAGGGGGGCATGGTTGCTTGTTTGTTTGCTTTTTTATGTTTAATGTTATAAGACAGGAAAAGCATCTATTTCATTTTTATGGTTTTATGAAGAATTTCTGGGGGGGGGGGGGGTAGTAGGTTACGCAGAATGGTAGCTTGGTGAAAAGTACCGAGGGTGAGCTCTGATTGAGTTCTCTACCGTTCTTTTTAAAACTATAAATTGTTGGACTTTCTAAAGATTTCCATCCACATGTGTGGGTTTTATCGGAGATGAACGTTAGGTTAGCTTGCAATATAATGTTGAATCAAGTGTGTTACTCGACGTACAATACATGTATATTCTATGGTTTGCTGTTGTTGCTTGTTTGGTTTTTTTTTGGGGGGGGGTTTGGGGGGGGTTGTTTGTTTTGGTGTGTTTGTTAACTAAAAAATGGAATTTACTGATGTTCAGTCAAATAATTAATATGTTAAATACGAGGGTCGTTCAAAAAGTTTTGCTTCCAAGTTCATAATTTCTTTATTACTGATGCTACATACAAAAGTTATACACCAAAAGAAAGCTTCGGATGTCTGCTACACGACTGAACCAGCGACGCACATCTTCTTGAACTTCATCATCATCTGCATAACGTTTTCCTTTGAGGTATTCCTTCAACTTAGGGAAAAGATAAAAGTCAGATTGAGCAAGGTCTGGACTGCATGATGGGTGTTGTAAGGTATCCTGAAATGTAAGACTTTTCATGGCATCTCGAGTTTGTCGACTCGTGTGTGGATGGACGTTGTCGTGGTGCAAAATTGCATTTTTTTACGGGCCGAACTCGTGACAGCCGTGCTCTAAGTTCTCTCAGGGTCTCAATATATCGTTCAGAGTCGATAGTGGAACCCTGTTCCAAAAATTCCATATGAATCAGACCATTGCAGTTTCAAAACACTGTCATAAGCACTTTCTTTGCAGATGAAACAACTTTGAACTTCTTGGGGCTAGGTGAGCCAGTGTGCCTGTATTCTTTCAATTGTCGTTTGTTCTTTGGGTCATAATAGTGTACCCAAGTCTCGTCTCCTGTGACTATACGGCGTAAGAAAGCTTCACCTTCATCAGTATAACGAGCAAGGAGTTCATCACTAACTTGACTTCGGTTCAGTGTCAGCTCGGGTGACAAAATGTGGGGAACCCACCGTGCACACACTTTCCTGTAACCCAACACATCATGGATAATATACTGAGAACTCCCTAAAGAAATCCCTAGCATTTCACTGACATCTCTTACTTTGATCCGACGGTTTTGCTTGGATGATCTCATCCACTCTCTCCTGGTGTTGAACATCACTGGCAGCGTTGGGACGACCACAACGAGAGTGGCCATGTAAATCTGTCTCTGCTGGACATGTTTCAGCAAAGTCCTTTGCCCATCTTTGAACAGTAGTTACATCTACACATGCTTCACCATAGACAAGCTTCATTCGCCTATGAATATCAATGGGTGCAGCTCCCTCTGCAGTAAGGAACTCAATAACAACTCTTTGCTTTAAGCGCACTTTCATAGGTTTGCTGGACGCCATTTTCTCGGCGACAATGTACCCTTGTTTCATTGATGTAAACAGCAATAGCATAAAGGTGTGACATTATAGCATAATTCTTTTTATTTGGGGGGGGGGTATACATATTGAAAGTCAATTGTGTACAAATTTCATGAAGATATTTTGAATAGTTTAGAAGTTATTGGAGAGGAGGCAAGGCTTTTTGAGCGACCCAAGAAGAACAATGACGTTTATTACAATATTAAATTATTCTTGGCTGATGTGTTGGTTCACAACGAACTTTACAATAAGCTGACGTTAAGTTGCAGTCTAAATCTTGAACAACTCTTTGCTATTCCTGTTGATGAATCTACTGTCAATTGTGGCAGCACGTGATGATAGCAGCTGCTTTTGCTGCCCATATTGTGACACTTACAACGATATAATATCTCACTTGTAGTGAGTTAATACAATGAAGCCAGAAAAACAGCCGTCAGCTCAGCAAGTTTTACTCTTTATATTATTTTAACGCGTATGTTTCTCAAGGATGGCATTTAATGGACACATACAAATCGTCGCATTCATTCAACATTGCGGTATGTCCAAATTACAACTTTAATTTGTTTTAAATAATAATAATCAAAATTAAAATATATTATGTTGTAGTGTTTGATGAGGTGCGTCGGTTAGACTTAGTGTTATTCCTCTTCTGACACTCTGAGACCGGCCTTAGAATGGCGTGTTGTCTCGTTTGCGAGTGCTCGCACACACACACACACACACACACACACACACACACACACACACA